AATGACGTCTTTGGGAAAGCTCGGGCCGAGGGGCGGCAACTTGGGGCGAAAGAGCTTCGGACATACCTGACCTTGTCCTTGCGACTTCGACAAGGCGCAGCCCACCCATTCAATCTCGAACGGGCCATGAGGAAGAATCTATCGACTGAGGATCTCCTCGAGATTCAACGCCGACTCAGAAACGTCGTAGTTGAGCGACCTTTCTTTGAACGTATTGGAAAGTGGTGCGCCAAAAAAGCAACTGTCAAACTTGAAAGTGATGAGGAAGGCCGAAAGACTTCCTTTGGAATTAGTCAATTTGGTCACGAATTCAACATTGATAGACAGCTGAGTTTGATGCTGGATTCGCAGAAAGAAGATGTTTGTCGCATTTGCTACCAAGAGGCTGTTGAACCTCAAACTGCCCAAGTAAGGACTCAATTTTGCTATTAGGGTGTGCCATACTAATACAATCATATAGTGCAAGCACATTTTCTGCAAAGAATGTATCGGGAAGCATTTGCGAGAGGAGTATAAGGAACGGGCAATACCCAAATGTCCTGACTGCGACAAATCCTTGACTGGCTATCTCCCAGCTGAACCATCAGACTCAGATGATTCGGACGCCGAACATTCCACAAGCGGAGCGCCGATACAACCTTGTCAGTCTCGTGTTGTGAGGCTAGGTCTTGACCATTTTGGAAGACATCCACAATTGAAGAGATCGCAAACTAAGTTTTTTCAACAATCTGACCAATATTATCCTGAACCTGTGGTACCAAGTGCCAAGACAACAGCAGTCAAAGAGGCAATTCTCGAATGGCAGTCTCAAGCTCCTGACGACAAGATAATCGTATTTATAGATTTCAAGGTGACTTCTGCGGTGCTTGGGAGGATGCTCAGGGCTGAGAATATTCCATTTCTCTACTTCGATGGCTCGATGTCTTCGGAGGAAAAGGAGATAGCTGTGCGGGCGTTCGATAGAATAGCCGACATCAAGGTTATGGTAAGTGCGAATGATCCCCTTATACACAGAGAACTGACTGTTGTAAGATTATGTCTCTGAAGAGCGGCGCAGTGGCGCTCAACCTGACGATGGCGAACCGAGTCATCATTGTCGATCCTTGGTGGAACGTGTCTGTTGAGCTGCAAGCATTTGCTCGAGTCTTCCGCATCGGGCAAAAAAAGGAGACTCACTTTATGCGTATCATTGCCGAGAACACTATCGACAACCGAATAGAGGCTCTCCAGGAAGAGAAGACAGAGAAAATCAGCAAGATCATGGAACCAGGGGCGGAGAGAAAACTTTCAGTTGAGGAGATAGTGTCACTCTTCGGCAACGTCAAGAAGTTCTCAGATGGTACTTTTGAAGTTTTGCGTAACGATGAGGAGGAGGAGGAGGATGCGTCAAGTGAAGAGCCACAGGCGAAGGCTGGTGAGATCTAACTACTACCATCCACTCAACCATACATTGCAACTTGTGCAACTAACAACCACACCCATCTGCACTTGAGGGGACTCATTGTTGACGTCCTATTGGCATCTTCGCCAGTGACAAGCGCTGTTCACGCCTTGCTCGGTCTAGAGGCGACTAGATCGCATTGCATCTTGAGCCTTTCCACCTTCATCTGGAAGAAACTTTGCTGGCACATCATTGGCTCATTCACATCAAAAGCTCTCAGAATCTGGATTTCGTTTAATGAAGTCAAAGAGGAGAGCGCTGAAAGGAGAAATAGAAAAGGAAAGAAGAAAACAAAGATAACGAAGCCCTAACGAGAGCCGCGCCACAGCAACGACGAGATTCTCAGTTCACATTGTTGACATCGCGGAGATACTCGGCGCCTCGAATGTATCATCACCAGCTAATCAAGGGTCCAATCACATTGCGACGGACATATCTTGACATTAAGTTTTACGTACAAGCTAGATAGCTTAATTTATTGCGAAGATTTTATTACCAAATGCTAAAACTCGGATCATCGTCACACAGTAATTCGTGTTGAGTACTGCGGGGGGAAAGGCGCATTTGGCAATGCTGCGATGAGTGACTTGCCAGGCATTTCCGTTATATTTGTACCTGTGCTAAATGCTGCATTATCGCTTGCTTTAGCAAGTGAAGAGTGGCATTGCTCGTATCGTCCTTCATATCACTGATCAAAATATAATAGATGCGCAAGAAGAGGGCGTCGCTCGATAACCAACGTACTCACTCTACTTACCTATCCGGTCATTAATTACCTTGCCGTGCCTTTAAATTCGAAATCCCTCTCATGCCTCCACCACCCACGATCATACCTCCACAGATCCAAGCCTATCGCCCTCCCCTCGCAACCCTCAAACCCACTCTCCAGCTCCTCCAGGCACTTTTCCACCGTCTCCTTGTCATCGACTTTGTTCATCAGGGTGTAATGGCCCTTGAACCTCCTCTGGTCCTGCTGCGTCAAGTGCTCCCACCACCTTGTCTGCATCTCCCTACACAGCTCCCCCACAGGCTCCAGCCCCGTAACATGGACGCCCACCCCGCGCCCCATGCGAAAGGGCTTCGCAGCGCGGATAGACGAGGGCGCGGTTGCGGCGCATAGAGACGAGATGTCGGAGATGACGGCAGACTTCGAGGAGTGCGGAAGAGCGTGGAAGAGGGTTATGTGCGCATCGACCTTGAGGAGATGCGCGGGAAAGTACCGCCTTCGCAGCTCCGACATGCGCTGCTGGTGCGCGGCGTCGGTCTTCAGCGTCAGGACGTAGACATTGTCTTCAGGGTTTGGGGGCGCGTGGGCCGGGTTTTGACGTCTCCTGGGCGGTGCTGCTTCCTGGAAATCGGCGGTCATGGTCTCTTTAATTGTATAAGGGATGCCCCTGTGATATGATTGTCGCGCTGATCTTATCGTGGATGTCCGGAGGTCGTAGAAAAACAAGTCTCGCGACATGGATTTATACTTTTGATCGCCGATGTTATCAATTTCAATGCTCGGCTACAAAGAATTGGGATCGGTATAGAAGCAATTCGTAGTATCTGAATGATAGCGTCGATGGTAGTTCAACAAACCTGCGATCGTGACGTCATTGAGCTTCCAATTACATGATTCGAATCGAGATGATCGCCGAAGAGTCGAGTGAAACTATCGTGAGTTCAATTGCGAGGCAATTCGTAGAGTAAGCCTTGTTCGAAAAATGTAGTTGATACTTTGGGAACGCCTAACATCTTGTCAAGCTTAATCCTCGCTATCCACGATCCTTTACCCATTTCTTCGTCATGCTCACGGCGTTCATAGCCCTGTATTAGGATCAGGCGAGGATTTTGTAACTTGGCAGAGTTTGACATGGATTCGATGCATATTATGTCGAGTTTCTCCTTGAGAATATGCCTGTAATTCCTTAAAATGTTTGGAAGTTGATGGAGGGTATGCATGTTGCAGATGCAACTCGGATCAATTACTACAAAGTGCGGCGGATGGCTGGTCGCGAACGACTGAATCGAAACTGCGGAGCCCTGGCCAGAACACGACCCCGCCACAGCCGATCGCGGGATATCTACTAATACAAGTGCATAAACTCTCCAACTAATCGAATGCGAGAATTGAGTTGAGAATAACCAGCCCGGCTGCTCCAGCGCATCGATTCCTATAAGTCAAGTTACTATTCGCCGCCGCCAGAGACCATGGCAGCGAATACGGATTCGAAAGAGGTGGTGGAGCTCCTGAAGACGCTCATGAACATCGAGAGCACCAGCGAACAAGAACTCGAAATCGGACAATACTTGGCGAAATACATACAGGGGCGCGGGTTTACTGCGGAGCGCATCGCCATTGCCGACGGCTCAACGAGGCACAATGTCTACGCATATCTCGGCCAGGAGCGAAAAGCACGGCTGCTGGTGACGGCGCACATGGACACAGTGCCCCCGCACATCCCGTTCAGCATCGACGGCGACGTGATCCGCGGGCGCGGCTCTTGCGACGACCTAGGGCCAATGGTTGCGCAGATATTTGCCGTGGAGGAGTTGCGCGCCGAGGGGAAGCTCAAGGACGGAGACGTGAGCTTCCTATGGGTCGTCGGCGAGGAGAAGGGCGGTCCTGGGATGATAGCTGCGAACGACATGGGCCTCACCTGGGAAGCCGGTCTCTTTGCCGAGCCGACGGAGGGAAAGGTAGCCAAGGGACACAAGGGCAATCTTGTGTTCGAGGTGATCGCGCATGGGAAAGCATGGTAAGCGTGCCATCGTAGCATCCATTATTTCACTACCAATTCGCTTCATGGCATGGTGTACGTATCATTGACTCGATCATTCTGTGCAAAAGCCATTCAGGGTACCCTCATCTAGGCAAAAGCGCGACGCTACTTCTCTTCGACGCGATGAACGACCTCAGAGCGGTTGACTTGCCGGTTTCTGATCTTCTGGGCCCGTCGACGCTGAATATCGGTAAGATCGAAGGCGGGGCCGGCTACAACATCCTGGCGGCCGAGGCCAAAGCCCTTTGCAGCATCCGCGTATCGACGGACGTGGAAAGGATCAAGAAAGCTGTGAAAGAGGCCATCGACAAGCACCCCGATGTCGAGGTGGACTTCAAGTTCCAGTACCCCGAGATGGTGCTGCAGTGGGAATTCGAAAGCTTTGAAGCAGAGCCGATGGCGTACGGCACGGACATACCCAGATTGCGAGGCGACCACAAGAAGGTGCTGTATGGCCCGGGTTCAATTCGTGTTGCGCATGGGACGGACGAGTATATCCTCATCAGTGAGATTATGGAATCGATCGAGAAGAATAAGAGGCTTATTCTGGAGTTGTTGAAGTAAATATTTCGGTTTACAGCGTCATGCACAAAAATGACTGCTGTAAAGAAGCCAGTAAATGCAAAGATCTCTCTCTAGTCGTTGTTCTCCGTTAATGATTTATTGGAAAACAAGTCTAAATTCACGGAAGGAAAGGTTATCTAGAGAGGATGCAAGGAAGGAATTGAACAAGAGTGAAGAAGTAAAGATTAAAAAAAAAAAATAACCCATGCGCCAACTGGAAAAAGATACTCCGAATCGGGGAATCGAACCCCGGGCATGTCGGCACCGTCTTACAACCACTTTTAAGGTGGTTACAATGAGAGCGACATATGTTAGCCACTACACCAATTCGGATAGGTGTGCCATTCATTGGCGGATGTATATCTCAAGCGAAATTCAACATATATTGATGGGTCATCATAGGTAAGTACTTAGTTTAGTTTACACCTTCCATATCCTCTTACCCAATGAGGCTGGGGCCTTTTTTATTAAAAATGTTTCATCCTTTTGAAATTGATTCTTGCTCGAACTCATAAGCTGTTGCTAGAAGGAAGTGGGTTGCTGCCCTTCAAAGTTTCCAAGGTTGCTGTTGACATCATTGTACATTCAACATGCTGGTTATTGCTGGCGGTAAGACAGTGTCGGTAGGACCAGCTTCCCGAGGATGCACAAGGGTGCGGGACAGGGGGCACTGCCTGTCTGAACCAATAGCAAGAGGAGTAATTCAGATACCAATGGATTTTGGCAGGGTCCAGGTACCGGGTCCGCATGCAGCGCCAGCTCTAGGTGCTAGGTCCCTGGGTAGGCCCCTGGGTAGGCCCCTGGGTAGGTACCTTCTTAGGAGGTAGTGGGGGATTTCATATGCCTTTCACCTTGCTATCCTCACATTAGGTAGAAAGTGACAGATCACATTGGCCTTCGAGCAACACCAGACGGGTTGTTGTGAACCCATTGTCGGCTGACCAAGGTCCAGGATACCTGCCTAGCCTGACTCAGAGGCCCAAAGCAGCCCGTCCTTTGGAAACAGGTGTGTCCAGGCAACCTACGAACCGCTACCTTGCCCATCGCCTATATCAATACCAACCTATCCCTTTCTACCTATTCCAAACCCCATACGCTCATCCCTCCTCGCTCACTCACACTCGCCTCACTCGCACGGCCACTTTGCGTTTCTATGTTGCCACGTTACTCGCGACTGCTATCCCTCCCCGCCAAGGCCCTGCTCAACTACCAGAGGAGCTTCCGCTTCCAGTACAGCACCAAAATCAGAATGTCGTCAAACGTCGGCAAGGGCGACAGCAACGGCTTTGTTGGTTAGTTATCCTGCTAGATGAACGCTATAGCGTCGTAAGAGCTGACGTGACACTCCTTTAGATCCTGGTATCGTCCCTACACCCCAGGTTTCTGAGCCATGGACGGTCGACAAGGTGCTGTCTGCCATCGCGCCGACATCGCTTGCCGAGGGCACCGACTCGCCTGTCCCATACTTCCACATCCTCGAGAGGCTGAAGACCAACAAGCGCGAGGGCTGGAGGCGCTTCAACATTGAGAGGTACTATGCGCAGACATAGCCCCCTTACTTACCTGGTACACCTGGTACACCTGGCTGACATGGACGTATGCACAGAGGCGAATCGATCTCCGACCACATGTACCGCATGTCCCTGATGACGATGCTCTGCCCGCCCTCGCTCGCGCCGAAGCTCGACCTCTTCAAGTGCATGAAGATGTGTCTGATCCACGACATGGCCGAGGCCATCGTCGGCGACATCACCCCGGTCGACGGCGTGGCGAAGCCGGAGAAGAGCCGGCGCGAGGCCGAGACGATGGACTACATAACGGAGAAGCTGCTGGGCAAGGTCTACGACGGAGAAGCAGGGAAGGAGATCCGGGCGATCTGGCAGGAGTACGAGGACTCGGAGACGCTGGACAGCACCTTTGTGCACGACCTGGACAAGATGGAGCTCCTGACGCAGATGGTGGAGTACGAGAAGCGGGCCAACAAGGCGCTCGACCTTGGCGAGTTCGCATATGTGGCGACGAGGATCATGCTCCCGGAGACGAAGAAGTGGGCGGAGGATGTGCTCAAGGAGCGCGACGCGTTCTGGGGCACGCAGGACCATGTGCACGGCGAGGCGGGCGTCGACGGCGGTGTCAAGGCCGACAAGCTTAGAAAGCAGGAGGCCTACTACAACAAGGAGAACGAGGGTGCCTGAAGGGACCAGATGCTACACAATTACGCAGGAGAGACAGTGTCGCAGCATTGGCCGAGACAAGATCTACACGAAAAACCTGGGGAAATGGCGGCAAAGCAAGACATGTTGCGGGGCATGGGGGTCGCTTGTTCTCTTTCTGATCCAGAGATTCAGACGACCAGAGGTGCAGAGGAAGGGGAGATTGGGAAGGCCTTATGGGGCTGGCTCATCATTAGAGAGAACCGGGGGCACCTAGAGATAGACAGACCGATATCCAATATGTTAGGAATCATGATAGATTGGCGTCGCATTTGACTCGGACGAAGCGCGTCGGGGGTCGCGTCTGCACGTGTAAGTGGCAAGCATTAAACAATACTCGCTATAAACACCAACACCAAACATCAACCTTGAAGCTTCTCTTGATAAGGTACCTGCTTAGGTAGCTAAGTACTGTTAAGTAAGAAGAAGCGACTGAATGATTGCCCCGCGGTGCCCCGCATCAGGGGCTGTTAATGCAAATCCATGCAGCGGGCAGGATGCGCGACGACCCAGAAGCGCGAACCCCCCCGGCACCTACCGCTCTCCTGGGTAATTGCCTACCTACCCAGGTAAGTTACCCAGGTAGTTCTAGGCGCTTATTTGATGAGGTGCATGCGCTGGCCCAGCAACGCCACCACAACACTCCAGCAAGCTCCTTTCGCCAAATTGCCCTTCCAAGCAAGCGCAAAGCCCGTGCCGCTCGCTCGTCTCCTGGATGCAGCACCTCTAAGTTCCTACCTGGGGACTTACACATACCTAACTGTCGAGAAGACGCATTTCCAGATCGCACCCTCCCTGGACCCTCACCTGCGTCTGGCTCTGAAACCTGTGTACGACTGAACCACAACATACCTACCTAGGTCCCTCTCGCTGTCAAATATCTTGGAATACACTCAGCATACTATTTGATGCATACGTCACACCGTCGGCGACTGGCATCAGCCCTGTTCCAGCTACAGACAGACAGCTCTAGCCTTCACCCAGGTCATGTGTCGATCCTGCAGCGTCTGAAGAAGGGTCCAACGCCCGCAAGCAGCATCTTTGCTTTGCTCTGAAGGGACCCCTCGCCTGTGTTCCCCCTCCACGCCATCGGCCAAACATACCTACCTACTTCATTCAGGTGGTTGTTGCATTGCATGCTGAAGCATCCAAGCTGCCGGGCTCGAATCAATCCAGTATATAATCATCCGACCGCAGTCCGAGGCCGCACCCATATCCATCTCATCAGCTATCGGTGTCTGTCTGCATAAAACATCAAGCTGTGGCTTCGAAGCATCGAAGCATCGAATCGCGCCATCGCTTCATGGCCACTTGTCATGGTCATCGGTTCGACACATCATACATTCGCATCAAACAGACCACCTCCGATCCTCACCAAGAACAAAACAAACCACCGTCGACACCACTCCGACGACGACATTGTACAGATTTCCGTATTTCTTACTAAAGCGACTTAGCGATCCATTTTTGCGAGTATCCGGATTTGGACTCAAGCCAGCCAGCCATCGCGGCACCGAAACCGCGTGTTAAGGTTCCCGACTGCGTCATCATTAGCCGGGGGCCCTTTGACGCCGCTTCCAACCGACCAACTACCCTTCACATTCATTCATTCCAAACCTTCACTAGATATGTCCTACAGCCCCCAGATTCTCATGTCCACCGCCTATCACATCGACCTTCCCAGCGGTGGTGGCAGGGGCTCGCCTTTCCCAGGCGTCCATCCGGGGCTCTTCAGGCCACCCACATCTCCGTCGGTGTCGAGCTCAACCTATCTCGGACAATCCACCGGAAGCTTGCAGTCAAATGCACAAACGCCCATCACGAACCCTAAGAGGAAGCGGATAGGCCCCAGGGCATCCACGCCCGTCAGAGACTGGACCATGACGCGAGACGGGAACACCAACATCGATCCTGCCAGCAACGGCCGCTCCTACTTCGACCTACGCGCAGATGAAAAAGAGAGACGATATACCCTAGCCGGCCAGATCGAGACGCCCAGCGCCGGTGCGCAGAAGGACTATGACTACATGGAAGATAGCATATACTCTGATATCGACTACAGGCGTGCGCTCGGGTCTAAGCGATCGCGTGACGACGCCGACTCGCCAGCCCAGAGACCCATGAGCATCGACTCCCACAACCAAATCACTACCGGCTGGAGCTCTTTTGCCATCAGCACCATCGGCGGTGTCGTCGGGAGGGTTTGGGAGTTCTGCAAGACTGGTGCATTCCTTGGTTTCTACGCTGGGGGTGGCAGAGGATACGGGATGCGCGGGGAGATGGGGCCACACTCAGCCAACCCCCATGACGACCGGGACCCCGGCTTTTTGATGAATTGTCCGCCTCAATCTGAAGAGGCTCCATTCTATTACGAGCGTGGTACCCCCGAGTCGACGCCACCACCGGCCGCGAAGCGCCGGCAGATATCGTACGGGACACCTACGGATGATCTGCTCAAGAATTGGGTCATGGTCGACGAGCCAGCTAACGTGACTCAGCAACCCTCTCTAGCATCCCGAGCGTCATCCCGTCGTCCCGCGTCGCGGGCGACAGCGCCCTCCCTCACCCGCCGAATTAGCAAACCCGTTAGCCGCCTCAGCATACCGGCTTACAACCGCCATCCTCCAACTCCCACTGGTGCCACCCGACCCAGCCCAGCGCCTATCTCTGTCCGCGAGCCTGCCAGCTTCGCGTCAACCAGATCCCCCGTCCCATCACCCGCGTCCAAGGCGCATCATTCACCTAGCAAGATTCCCGTTCCCTCACGCGCGCAATCTCCCAGTAGCGCCTCCTACACGGATAGTCGTTTCTCAGATCATCATTCATCTCGAATCCCCAGTCCCAGCCCTTACTCTTCGAAGCGCGGCCACCAGCACCGACGGTCACAGAGCGCTGTCATGTCGTCGGCAGCCTCCGTGGCGTCGTCGATCTCGCCGGTGAAGTCATCGAGCAAGCGGGAGTCGTTGCACGAGATGCATGACAATAGCCCGCGGCTGGATGCTAAGGCCAGAAACCTAGCTGCCAAGAGAATGAAGGACGAGATGGAGACGGATATGCGGATTAATGATTTCAATGTCCGTCTGAAGGACATGATAAGGCAGGGCAAGGAGGCGCTGGGCA